TGTGTGTGTGTTCTGTAGCGTAGTTATTTGGTTGACAGGCGTTATTGAAAAGGCCTAAGCGCGGATATCGAGAGTTTTTATTATGTCTTTAAATAGGTACATTCAATTCTGAAAGAAGGGACATTTTTTTGTTGTTGTTGAAGTTGGTTACAAGGAACAGAGTTGCGACATCGTGAGAAAACAAACAACAAAGAGTTTTCAGACGCGATAGACAGTTCTGGTATCCACAAAATCCGACATTAAAGAAGTAAAAGACAACCTACCCCCCCTCCCCCACCCCCTTTTTTTAATACCCACAACCCCAATTCCTACAACGAGTTAAAAGCGCCTTTGGCGCATGACGTCACAACGACCCCAAAATGGTCCAGGGAGAGTGGAGAACCAGGATTGATTGATATGTTTTATGGCACTATTGACGTAATTCTAATTTGATGGCGGTAGTGTCAAAAACTGATGCATTATTGCCCGTCCGTCGAACCATTGATTAAAAAGACGGACAAATATTTATAAATCTCTCAGTAAATATAGGAATATGTACAAAAGACCCCGGTTGTGTGTACTAGGACAAGCGAGTCCCGAAGAAAGGGGATCTAAAGTTTAATTTACGGAAGACAGAACAGGCTACTTGAAAGAACTGCAGCACACTGCGAATTCGTTTTTCTTTTACAAATATTTATTTATTTATTTATTTTACACTATGTACATTCCTCTAAAGACTTTCGCACAGACTGTGATACGAACAAGAGTTCACAATTTGACTTCCTTCTAATTACGCAAATACTGATCTTTATTACTTCTTTTTTTTTCAACGTTATTAATAGTTTAAGCTGTGGGTACGGGTCAGACTTGATCATTCGATTCTACTTTTTCTGACACCTCAGGCAGCTATAAGTAATTGTAAATGTACCAAGATTACGAAGCAAAAGCACAGAACACATTAAACACTAAAGGGAATACTCTTTGCATTAAACGATCCCGAATGTTCTTACACCTCTTACAGCTCCACCCCCTTCCCTCCGTAATGACACCCGGCTCTAAGGTGGGGGATTGTCAAACTGGAACCAAAGGCTGGGGTGAGCAGATTTTTTCAACCCGATTTGAGTTCGAATTTTCCCACCCACCCTTCCTTGAATACTTTTCCACTAAACCTTACGTACCGATCGGTGGGGGTGGTTGGGAAGGGGGCGACTATTCTTTCTGTCCTAAAATTTACATACTCTCTAGTCAGGCGATTTACTTCACGTAAAACAAGCCAAAGATGCCACAGAACAAGTCAAACTAATACACAGCGTGTCATGAGGCTGGCCGGCGCACTGTCGTGCCGTGTAGACGTCATAACGACTTAGTCCCATTTCGCCTCATCCACGAATCCGCACACATAAATCAATAACGCAATGACATAAACCCCTATCCCCCGACGAAGCAGCGCCATTAACTGCTCCAGACGACCCGGCCGCTCGACCTGACTCTTCACTTTAGCCTTGACCCCTGTCCATCATCCACGGAGTCAAAGGGAGTTTTATTTACTGAATTATTAAACTCGCCATGAGCGGTGGCAGCTCGTGTTTGGCCCATCGCAAGCAAAAAAAATAATTTTTAATCCCAAAAAATTCCATGACGTGGAGACCAATACATTACCGCTGTCATCAATCTGTTCACAGGTCCTATATTTAATAATTCAGTGAATGGGCACCTCTGATAATTGTGATCGACCAAGAAATGATAGGGTCAATGTCCGAGCGCTGGCATCGGTGGTGTAATGGTAAGGCTCTTCGCCTCTGCACCCAAAAGACACGGGTTCGTTTCCCCGAGAGGGACGGTCATTTCACCCATTACATTTAGTCTGTCTGCTGGGTCGCTGATCTCACTCAACCCACGATGGCCCAACCTGGCAGTTTAGTTTTTAATACCAGTTTTACGGCATTTGCAACACAATCAAGTCACATAAATGTTGAAGGTGAGAGGAGTTACAAGAGTGTAACATACAAACAAAAGAAGGAGGAGAAATAAGGAAGATACACGGTTGATAAGAAAGAAGGAGCAAAGCACACAGGAGCGCCCGCTAACCACCCACGCCAACAGGCAGAGCAGAAGCAACCAAGGTCATTAACGAACGAAATTATGTCTAAGGATTGTGAAACATTTACAATGAAGTATACTGTGTAAGCAGTTTTTGTTTGAGCTTCGAACTGAACAAACAAACTTTTGTGCTGCTGGCGATCTCCTCTCTTCCCCCCCCCCTCCTCCTCTTCACTGTCCTGACTGTTATCGATAAAAGGTGCCGCTTATCGTAACTACTCGACGTAAAACACACGACTGAGCCATTGATGTAGATGTGCTAAATAAAAAATAATAAAATAAAAAGAGATAAGCCTAAACTCCCGATTACTGATAACATGAGACCTAGACACTCCTGCGGTTTTAACACAACCTCTTCTTCGGAACGCTGAAAAATGATTAGTAATAACCTCGACAGTTTTAAAAAACATAATCGGGGTCAGGTAGAACGAGGGGGGGGGGGGTGTCCTATATTTGTACGCGTGACGTCTTATCACGCAAGTCATATCTGGTCATGACACAGTCAGCAAGAATGAAAACAGCTGAAGTGGTGGACATGAGATACGAATGCGTCGAGAACAATCTATTATTGAATGATTTAACAAAAAGCACAACGTATAAACTATGAAAACGATACAGGCGTCACGATGTCGAAACAAATGCGTCAGACTTTTCTATTTCTCCTCCCCAACATCCCAATATTTCCTCTTTTCGAATCTTTTGACACGGATTCTATCCATTATTACTCGCCTCTCTTCAGCAGGGTCTATCCCATGG